GTGCCCTGGCGCATGATAAATGGGTTTCGACACACAACAAAAACTCAATTTGGCTCCAAAACTGATAAAAGACACACAAAATAAAGCGAACAAAGAAATTGTCTATGCAGATACTCGTATTTGGAGTGGATTTCAGAACAAGTTTGTGGCTGAACAAAAAATGGAGACGACATTGAAGATCTGTCGTGCGAAGATGCTTTATTACCTGAGGACAAGAATCTGTGAGCCAATGACAGAGCATCCTTAAGGGTCGGACTTTAACCCCTTGAATTGCTCGGGGCGTGGCCTCTCGAGTGCCTGCGTGCTCTCCATCCTCCAACCTCCAACCTCCATCCTCTTCGTGTGGATTGACCTTCAACTGTGTGTTGTTTGGACGGACAGCAAATTGATTCAATTTTCCCATCATCCGACAGACTCTGGATCCAATTTATCAAATACCAACACAACATGTGTCTTCTTCTGTAGACGATCTTCTTGATCGCCCCGAGTCCGAGTCCGGGTCCGCATCTGAGGAGATCTTCCCTCCTACTGCCCTATACTGCCCATTCCCCATTCCCCATGTATGATTGGTCGTTCCCATCTGGCTATTTGTTTGTTTTCTCGCTTGCTAATGATGCGTGAATTTCTGTGTCAATTCCTACTGATCTGTTGGATTTTTGGCCGATGAAGTCATGTGGATTCCTCAGGAATGGAATCTTCATCCGAAGTACCGCCTGCACGTGACACACGAGTCGGATCCGTTAGGTAGGAGCACACTCGTACGTAACCGAGACACACCCATCCCATCCCTCCATCTCTCTCTCGCGTTGCGTGACGCTGATGATGCCCCAGCCCCAGCCCCAGCCCCAGCCCCAGCTCGGGACCTTGAAGTGTCGCAATCATTCGTGCAGAACTTTTCTATCTACGAGCATGTATCCGGGGCTCTCTTTCGGGGCATCGGGGGACGGGACAGCAGTTGGAGGAGCGGGCCCCTAGGTGCTGCGCCGTACAGCTTATTGTTTTGCGTTGTAATTAATGGCTAAACGGAACTGTTTAGGAAGAGGTTTGGGATGAGCTTTAACGGATGTCTCCACAAGATACACTTCGCACCCTCGAAGTATCTTTACATCTCTGCAAGTCGTCTAGCAGCAGCGTTTGGCCTCTCGAGAATCTTTCACCTTATTTATTCCTTATTTTAGGCACCTTTTCCTGTCTCCGACATCCTCCTGATTCTCATTCCCATTCTTACTCCTATTCCCATTCCCATTCCCATCCGCATCCTCTCTTTCGCCTACTCCTCGTGTAATCTTGTTTGTGCGATCGCCCTTTTTCGCTTCGTATTATTTGTGGGCTTTGCTAATTTTCTTTGCCTTTGTTGCGAAGATGAAGAAGAAGACGAGGAGGAGGAGGAGGAAAAGGTCTTCTCTCTCTCCCTCCCTCACTGTCTGTCTGACGTTTTTGCTTGCAACTTTGCCACCAGTCTCCGTGATCTTCTTTCACCGATCTCTGGACAAACACAAACGGCAGGCGAAACAAAGAGAAAGTAAATCAGATTTTGGAGCAGCTGTGCCGTCGTCCTACATAGGACACGAGCATAGGAACGACAGGAGGAATGGAGGAAGAAGAAAGGTACGTGGAGGGAAAAGAACGCCAACACAACGTGGCTCATGGTTGAAGACGGGCCTGATTTATGGCCAGATCCTAGCCTCTCTCGTTCGCCTGGACTCTCGGACTCTCGGACACAGCCTGTCGACACAGCCAGTCTCTTCCTACCTAAATATTTTCGTGGGTTTCCGTGGGCCAATGCAAATATCATGCAACTCATGCGATGATTTATGCCGCAGATTTTTCTTTCTCCATGAATTCGATTTCGGGCTATTCATAATCCCATGAAAGGCGAGGCAAATGGAATAATATTCCATTATTTTGGTTATGGCTTATTAAAATCACATTATTAGACCATTTTCAGGCATACCGAAAGTATCAAAACATCCGTGGATGCCACACGGATGGCCGTACGGGTGGCTGTGTCCATCAGAGAATGGATCATTTGTGGGATCTAATTAGCGTTAATTGCGGCTCGGGGTCTTCCGTAATCTGAACTCAGGGTTAGTCTCTTTTGCAGCCAGTTCATTGTAGAACCAGAGACTATCCAGGGGCCTACCTTTCCAAATATCTGTCTCTCTTTCTTTTTATTCGAAAACCTTTCGTTGCTTTTCGGGTGGAGGAGTCGTAAAGGTTGAAGCGATGACAGCTCTAAGCGCTTCTTGTTGTGGCTTCCGTAGCAACTAAACGGCCATCAACATTTTATGGCAATCCTTGGCGCCTGGTCCTGCTCAAACAGGACATACGAAGTGCATGTGTATATGGTAGATAATAGATGGTAGATGGTAGATGGATGGCACGCTTCAAGGTGATAAAACTCAGGCTGGTTCTGGCTCTGGCTCTGGCTCTGACTCTGCTTCGGTTTGCTTCGGTTACAGCTGCTTTCAGTCGTCATAAAACTAAGCTATCTATATCTCGAAGTTCGGGGGGTCGCAGGGTCAGCTGGTTGCTAAGGAAACGTGTTTCCAAAGAAGGCAATGGCAAGGGGCGGGGGGATAGGGAAGTGAAATTTTCATATTGTTCGCTAATTAAAATGCTTAACCCACATCAAGAGCTGTAAATCCAGGACACGGGACGGCATGGCATGGAATGGGATGGGCTGCCCTTCTTATCGCCCCTCAATGGTTAAAGGAGTATAAATACAAACAAACAGCAAAAAACAATCCGAACACAAACCCCTTCCTCGACCAACAACAAACACGGACACTTTCTCCCTAGGTGCATCGGGAGATGGGAGATCCAGAGACAGGACCAAGATGTGCTCAAGAAACGGAATATTCGGAAATCGAATGGAAAATGGCTCTCGGGCCGGTCCCAGCTAGTTTGCATACGTAATTATGTTGGGAATTCTGACAACGGAGGCGACATTTGACATGTGTTTGAGCTACGATCCCGGAGAGATAAAGCCAGAGATGCCCCCTCCCCCCTCCCGGTTACAGCGGGACAGAAAGGGGTTGTGCTGCGTGTATGACGCGTCCCGGGGCTGCGACTGGACTGGCGGTTTGAACTTCACGCATAAGCCGATCGCTATCCCGATCCCATCAGAGGTTTGACATCATTAGTCAAACTTAAAGATGCATTTGTATCTTGTGTCTTGTAACTTTAAGCGCTTTAGGCTAATGGCAAGCCATTAATTAGACCGGATATTGGTCCGATTGCTCCGATTGCTCCGGGCACCGATCCACACAATTTGTTACAATTCGAGCATCGAGCAGCCGGAACGAGGAACCAGTTAGCCAGCCATTCAGCCATTTTCTGATCTGAAATCTTAAATCCATTCCCACTTACCCCCCTTCTGCCGCCTCTTCTCAGGGGGCATGCAAATTGCAAAACCGCGCTAATTTTTTCCCTGTCCCTATGTCCCTGTATCCCTGCGTCCCTGCGTCTCCCTGCATATCATTTTCAATCTCATTCAACAATTGAATTGTGCTCTTTTCCTCGGATTTATTTCGGTGTTTCGGTATTTCCAGTATTATATAAATACATATAACAAAGGCATATTTATTTCGTTTTAATTTGTAATTTTGCGCTCTGGTCAGTGAGGTCCAGAGGTAAGAGTGCAAACCAGTTGAACTTGTATTTTCAGTGACTGTCTGTCGTCCTGTCCTCCCATCGCCTTAGTCGATTAACAAGCGGCCTGGAAACAAGTTCCGGCCGTGACAACCCCTTGAGACACGCTGACAAGACACGTATCCATGTCCATGTCTATGGCCATGTCGCTGTCGCTGTCGATGTCCATCTTCTCAGCTCAGTGTTTACTTAAGCAACTCTTAACAACTCATAATAGAGCAATTTTCACATATGCCTGCCTGCCTGCCTGCCTGCCTCCCTGCTTCCCTGCCAGAGTGGTGCCTGCAGTAAATCATCGCCGGCAAGGCAACGACTACTCAAATGGTCAACTGGTCAGAGACATTGTCACTCCTTCTACCCTTGAAAGGATCCTGCCCCTTTTGAAATTGATCGCAGGCACTTGGAAATCTAATGGCTCGGGCTGGGTGGGTCTTGGTGGCTTGGGAAGATTTATTTTGGCACTTGATGGTGTTTTCATTTCGGGGCTCAACAGATAGTTGCACTCGGGCGTGAAGTGCAGCGCAAATTGTAGGGGCTTTCCACACGGACACGTCACACACAAACGGCAGCTTTTCCATGTGTCCGGGCTAGGGCGGAGGGCTTTCAAAGCTCACAAATACTAGTGCACAAGCACTGCTGGCCTGGCCTGCAAAGCAGCTGTTTCCCTTGTTCTGATCACATGGACATCGAGTTCTCCTCTTAAGGTGCCAGCCATTTATGGACCACGGCCACAGCAACAGCTCTAACCTTGAAACCCAGCGAGCACCCAGCTGACACAGTGACTGTTGACTGTGGCCTGAAAGATCTTAAGTCTGATTGAGTGACTGACTGGGGCTCGGGCTCTGGCTCGGGCTCGGGCTGAGACTGGGTCTGGGACTTGACAATGAGCTAATTTAAATCAGAAAAGTGTTCGAGCAAACTGACAATTTAAAAGTTTGCACACGTCGAGGGACCGGCAGACAGACAATTGCCGAAAATTGAAAGGAAGCTCCGTGGCTCAGCATAGCAGAGCACAGCACCCATTTATTCCGCATTATGTTGTCAATCAAGCGGTACTGGAATGGAACCGAAGGATGATGTACGAGTAGGTACCAGTGCTCTGGGAGGGAGTCGGCATTTGCATACGGAGGAATGGCTAATGATGGGAGGATGGGATGGGCATCGATTGCCTGAGAGAGCAGGGAACTTTGGGCCAGGCGACATGTAGGTCAAAAGGATGTTTTCGGGAGAGCTGAGTAAACGGGTTCCCCGGGATCTGCTGTTCCCTGAGATCGCTAATTACGCGCCGCTAACTTGTTTTTCTGAAACTCAAACTAATGATGATTTGATTGTTCTTCCCGTTACAGATTCGTTTGTGAACAGCCAGGAATGGACGATCTCCAGGTCGGTGCCCGATCTCAGGCTGGGAATCGTCGGCTCCCTGAACTCTGGGAAGTCGGCGCTGGTCCATCGCTACCTCACCGGCTCCTACATGCAGGAGGAATCGCCCGAGGGCGGTCGCTTCAAGAAGGAGGTCTTCATCGACGGCCAGAGCTACTTGCTGCTCATACGCGACGAGGGTGGAGCTCCAGAAATGCAGGTGAGTCTCGCACGCGTATTCGGGGTTGTGTTCGGGGGCTCTCTCTGTTTTTCCATCAAATATTCAGGGGACATGATGTATTGCCTGCGCGCCAAGGGGGAAGCGGTTCCCGGGGGTGGCACTTTGCTGGCAAGAAAGTTTTTCCGGCTGCAGACAAATACATATTCCCTTATCATCTTGTAAATATTTGAATTGAGGTCAGCGTGGGACCAACGGGGGAACGTTCTGAGGCCTGTCTGGGGTTGTTATTCGATTGGTGGCAGGTTGCGTGGGACTGGGACTGGGATGGGAGCAAGGTTCTTATTTATAAAGATAATTTGATTGAATTGCCTGAACAGAACCCTCGGATGGGTCTTTGCAGCCGTTCCTTTCTTTAACTTTTTGTTTCAATTCCACAGTTTTCTCTGGCAATTATCCAAGTTTTCTCCGCCCCTCCACACTCGCAGAGTACTTTTCTGCAGTTCACTTCATTCGCTGGCTACAAAGTTTGCCATTACTGAATGTGGGGTATGAGTCACTCTCTCAAGCGAACTTCGACCTTTGGCAGCAGTCAGGCCACAGTGGGAGCCAAAACTTTGTCGCAACGTTGATAAGCGTTTTTTGTCCTGACACCATTTCCTCCCAGAGCTTCTGCTGCTGCTGCTGCTGCTGTTGATGCTGACCATTATGACAGGTCGGGACGTGATGTGCAACTTCATCATCGGTTGGCAGAGCGCCAATAGCCGCCCGAAAGATGCCTCTGCTTGCCAGGGCCTGGACAAAGGTTAAAGGTTGCGCAGTGTGTGGCACACAATGCCGAGCACTCGGCTGATTGCCAACCCCGGGGCTTACCTTGGAACCAGCCAACCCCTCCGTTGCATTCGACAACCAAAGTTTCTGTTGCCTCGAACCCGATGCAATTGAATCGGTCTTTTGTCAATAATCGCACGGTGGAGGGATCGTGGACGAGGTTGGAGGCTGGAGGCTGGGAAGCTGGGACGCTGGCATAATTAAAGGCAACTTAACCACGGGCTATTTACGGTTATGTACACTTCGACGGGGGCCTTGACTCATTGATTCCCTCGGGGCCGGGCCTCAAGGAGCTTTTGTCGTGCGGCACTCGGCTTTGATATGCTCTGCTCTCCGAGAGTGCGCTTATTGTGTGCAAGGATTCGCGATTCGCGATTCGCGACTCGCGACTCTCGATTCTCCATTCGCAAATTTACATTTTTGCAATTACAATTTCTGATCCCCGCCTCTGGTGCTCTCCCTACCCCCTGGGCGACATCCTGCGCCTGCGGCTTAAAGGGTGAAAGTGAGGATTATAAATTTTAAGCTGCTTTCGCTTTTCTGCCAGTCTCTTTCTCTTTTTATATTTTATTTGCGGTTCTATTTACACCCAGGGGGTGGGGATAGGGGGTTGCTTATAAAAAATGTGCCAGACACGCGACCCCTGAAATCCCAATAATATCCCTATAATCCTTGCTCTATCCCTGCCGTGCCTCTCCCTCTCTCTTCCTCTATTTTACTGTCTGCTATCTCCCGTTGTTAGCGATTTTTATTCAAATTGCGAATTTGGCATTTCCTTTTTTATTCTGTTTAATTAGAAGTTTGGAAGTTTTTTGCAAGTCAAGCAGATGATTGACCTAAATTATCGTTGATGGATTTGGACAACAAAGGATTTGGGCTTTATGGAACGGAGCGGAGCCGAACCGTTTCGGGGGGAAGGGTTTCAGAGTCATCGATTGTCTGATACTTCGATAAAGTTTGAGAGTTGCGGTGCCAGGAGCTCAACTCGAAGCTTCGGAAGATATGAATAACAGAATAACAGTTTAAGAGCCACCGCTTCATAACAGTTTCAGACGTATAGGGAACGGTTTGAGAGATAAAGCTTTGTTTAAGCTGTAAGCTTTCAAAGTAGCCGCTGATCTTTCAGAGTACTCGTATTTCGAGCAACGGTAGCTACAGGCTGCAGTTTGAGAACAGCTACAGTTCGAGGGTGCTTACAGATTGACACGAGTTTAGCTACAGTTTGAGACATGGCTTCGAGTTGAATCCAACTACAGCTTGAGATGCACTGTATATGGGGGGTATGATATTTTTTATAAACCATTTTTCGCGCCTCATTGCACACGACTGTAACTTTCTCCGCCTGCAGATTGCATATTGCATAATCCGCTCGCTGGATGCCAAACTGTCAATCAACCCTCTCACTTGAGCGCACACACTCCGCCCCACCCCCAACCTCCTCCCCAAACCTTCGTTACATTTGTAATTTCTTCCAATTCACAAAATCGTCCACTTTTCGCCATTCCCTCACTCCGCCAGCGCTGGCCCCCTCCCCTACCCGATATTATTTCACTTTCTTTGACTAACCCGTGTCATTCACATCTTTATGGAACATAATAGGCCCATATTTCATATTCCATATTACATCGAGCAAATAACCCTCATTTTTGAGAGAGAGAGTTGGCAAAAGTTACACCAACAGCCCACAACCCACAGCCCACAACCCACAGCCCACAGCCCACAGCCAACCGAAAGCCCACCCTCGCGCAGTAACAGTCGCAGAACTTTGGATGAAATCATTCATTCCACGAGCGACGCGTCGCCACTCGGTCGCCTTTGTAGTTGTTTTTCTGTTTCTCTGTGTTCTCCAGCGCATAGAGGATATCATTACCATACACCGTGCTCCACCACTACCAGACACGACATCGTCTCGTGTGTCGCGGCGACACAGCGTCAACAATATTGCACGCGACTAGCAGTTGTCGATTCCTTATGGCCGGTGGGTGGGGGGATGCTGGTGGGGGTGTACACTCGAGGTGGTGTTGGTGGCATCGAAGGGAGGGAAATTCGTGAAGGAAAAATGAGGATAGATTATAGTGAGTAGCAAAATTGATATGGCCTGCACTTCATTGAATCGGACATTACTGTAGCTGGAAACTATGGATTCTCAGAGACCTTAGATGCCGGAACAGAAGGAACACACCATACGAGTGAGGATGGAATAGATTATTCTATATAAATACCACTGAAAATAGTATTTTAAACATGCAAATCATAGACTATCGAGGGAATTCAATTAGGTTCGATTGCCAGTAGAAAGTTCAGGGAATCGAAATGGTGCTGTTTTTGTGACCCGCACCGTGTGTTTTTATTTCGTTCTCCTTCGTCAGCATACATCCGGAGACCGGGCTCCGGACGTACACACACGTCCACATACTGCACGTAAGCACTCTCGCACACAGACGGAGATACGGCCGTACAGCCATGTATCGAGTATCTGTGTGAGATTCAGCATTTCGTCGCCATTTGGTGCAGATTTTTTGCATCCTCCTCTCCTCCTTCTCCCTTCTCCCTTTTCCGTTTGTTGTTGTGTTGCTCTTCTTCCTCTTCCTCCCCCATCTGCATCTTGTGCTTTTGCTTCTGCTTTTGCTTCTTCCTCGTTTTTTTCTCTTTGCTTTCCTGTTTCCTCTGCATACATTTTCACAACAAATCATAAAAAGTGGCCATGATGGCGCGACGCCAGCGGCGAGGCAGGGGTAGGGGCAGGGACTGGCGGCAGGCGGCAGGCGGCAGACAACCTCCCACCAGCCATACAACCATTGTAGCAAGCATCGAACCAACCCAACCACCCACCACACAATGCACACAGCAACGAGGACGCCGTTGTCCTCGTCGTTGCCAGGACATTCTCGAAGCCAGTTGTTTGTCGACTGGCGTCGCGTGCGGGCGGCTTTTTTCCGATTGCTCCTCCTGCGACATCGACCTGAAAGAGGACTAGCAAAGGACAGGCCCCGAATGGAGTTAAACAGAGTTACATAAATTATTCATCGGTCGGGTCCGGCTCCGGGGCGAAGGTAAAAAGCTTTTAATGCATAATTAATTGATCCGAATCGAATCGAATCGAATTGAATCTAGTCGAATCGAATCGAAGCGGAGTCCAGTCAATCAATAGAGAGGACGAACTCCGTTTGACGGAAGCGGGGAATCCTGCGCAGAAACAGAGGGAGAAGCAGAGGCAAAAACAGATGCAGAGCTGTTTACATGCCGCATAAAAGTTCATTATCCTTCGAAACTCCGACAGTACCATTGTGTGCGAGAGCTCGAGTGTCTGTGTGTGTGAGTGTTGTGTGGTGGAGAGGCATACGAAAATCATTAAAAAGTTTAACACACGTCTGGCGAGAGGAGCAGAGGCAGGGGCAGGGGCAGGGCCAGAGGCAGGGCATTCAAGTGCTTCATTAGCGACTTTCTCAAGTGTGTGTGTTGAGTCCTGCACAGTCAGAAGCCGAGTCAGAGACTCCTCACAGACTGAATCGCAGGGCTACGAGGAAAGGAGATCCGCCGAGACGAGAGCAGACCGCCTGGATATGGCTATGGCTTTGGCTATGGCTATGGTTATGGGTCCATTGTTTTGCTCGCTTCCGCCAGACGCCGCACTTTGTTTACTCCTCGCTCCGGCTCCCCCAGAAGCCCACAAAAGCCCACAAAGTCAAGGACTCGCAGCGGCCTCGCTCTCGCGCTTTGTTTCCAGATTCCAGATCCCTGATCCCTTGTGCCCCTTTCTCATGCATACCTTTCCCTTGCACACATTCTCCTTACAGTTCGCTGGCTGGGTGGACGCGGTAATCTTTGTGTTCAGCCTGGAGAACGAGGGCAGCTTCAATACCGTCTACAATTACTACACGAAAATGGCGCATTTTCGGAACGGACAGGACATACCCATGATACTGGTGGGGACGCAAGGTGAGTCGAATCCCTCCCATTCCACGCTTCCCTACTTATTCCCGGCCCCCCCGGTGCCCCCCTTCCAGATTCGATCAGTGAGCGCAATCCGCGTGTGATTGACGACACCCGCGCCAGAAAGTTGGCCAGCGATCTGAAGCGCTGCTCCTACTACGAGACCTGCGCTACATACGGCCTGAACGTGGAGCGCGTCTTCCAGGACGGTGAGTTCTTCAAACCACACTAGTCCCTTCCAGAACTAACCAGCGGCCCCCTCATTGCCCCAAACAGCTTGCCAGAAGATCCTGTCGCAGCGCCTGCCGCTGCCGGCGTCAGTGCAACCGCCCAGGCCCACAACCCCGCAAGGAAGTCGCCTCGGACTGGCCCCCTACCAGGCACCCACCAACGGACAGCACGGCCAGCACGCGCAACACGCGCAACACGCGCAACATGGACAACACGGACACCATGGAATGCACGGACAGCGGGGACAGCAGCAACTGCCGCTGCGGATAAGCGCGGACTTTGCGCAGGGGGAGCAGAAGCTGTGGTCTCTGCAGGCGAGCAGCTCCTCCTCGGCCTCCTGCACGACGGTGGCCACCAACGAGAACAACAACATAACCAAATACAACCCCGGAACGGCGGCCAACTCCCTGCAAGGCGACTGCTCGCAGGTGCAGCTGCGAGATCCACGGGATCTGGCACCGCCACCCGGCAAGGAGCTGCCCACGCCCACCTCGACGCCCACGACGAGTCGGAAGAGCCGGCGACGCTCGAACCTGTTCATCCCCTCCTCCTCAAAGAAGGCCGACAAGGACAAGGAGCCGAAGGGCAGCGAGCTGGGCAGCGGCCGCTCCATTCCCATCAAGCAGGGCTATCTCTACAAGCGCTCCAGCAAGTCCCTCAACAAGGAGTGGAAGAAGAAGTACGTGACGCTGTGCGACGACGGTCGGCTCACGTACCACCCGTCGCTGCACGACTACATGGACGACGTGCACGGCAAGGAGATTCCGCTGCAGTACGTGACGGTCAAGGTCCCGGGCCAGAAGCCGCGCGGCTCCAAGTCCATCATCACAAACAGTGCTCTGACCAGCTCGCTGCTGGCCAACGGCCACAGGGCCCAGAACACGCTCAGCGACGGCATTGGCTGCCTCACCCTGGCCAAGGACAATCAGCGCAAACTGAGCGAGAAGCTCTCCCTGCTGGGGGCCGGATCGGGGGCTGCTGCCGGCGGAACAGAGCCCCTCAAGTCGAACAGCTCGCAGCAGACGAGCGGGGACGAGGGCATAGCCATGTCCAACTCGAATTCGCAGACGTTCATAGCTGGGGAGGCTGCGGCAACGGCAACGGCCACGGCCAGCAAGCTGGAGGCCCAGACGCCGAACGTGAAGAAGCGGCACCGCCGCATGAAGAGCAGCAGCGTGAAGGCGAGCGAGGCCGACGACAACGATGGCTACGAGTTCTACATCGTCTCGCTGGACTCCAAGCAGTGGCACTTCGAGGCAGCCAACTCGGAGGAGCGCGACGAGTGGGTGGCCGCCGTCGAGCAGGAGATCTTCAAGAGCCTGCAGAGCATCGAGAGCAGCAAGACCAAGCAGGCGACCAGCACAGATCTGGCTGCCATGCTGACCATACGTCAGCGGGTGCCGGGCAACGGCCACTGTGTGGACTGTGGAGCACCAAGTAAGTACAGCTACAGCTGCTCTCATCTGTGCCAGCACTCACCTTCTGCTCCTCTTCTTTGTCATTGCAGATCCCGAATGGGCCAGCCTCAATCTGGGCGTGCTCATGTGCATCGAGTGCTCGGGCATTCACCGCAACCTTGGCTCGCACATATCCAAGGTTCGCTCCCTGGGCTTGGACGACTGGCCGTAAGTTATTGAGCAGCTCTCTGCCTACTTTGTGGCCTAACACTATATTTTTCCGCCATCAGATCGCCCCATCTCAGTGTAATGCTGGCCATCGGCAACAGTCTGGCAAACTCCGTCTGGGAGTCGAACACCAGACAACGGGCCAAGCCGACGGCGCAGGCCAGTCGCGAGGAGAAGGAGCGATGGATACGCAGCAAGTACGAGGCCAAGGAATTCCTTACTTCGCTCGGCGGCGGCTCATCGACGCACGCCAGTCCCAGTCCGGGACAGCAGCTGATTGAGGCTGTGATACGGGCCGACATCAAGTCGATTGTCTCCATTCTGGCCAATTGCCCAGCGGAGGTGACCAACGCCAATGTTAGCGCCCGGGATGTGCGCACTCCGCTGCTCCTGGCCTGTGCCATAGGCAACCTGGCCATTGCACAGCTCCTGATATGGGTAAGTTACCTAAAGAGAATACAAATGCATTTACTGACTGTCGTTTTATTCTCTTTTTCCCAGTACGGGGCCAACATTAAGCACACGGACCACGAGGGTCGCACGTGCCTGGCCTATGCCCGGGCTGCCCAATCACTGGCCACGGCCAAGTCGATGAAGGCCGCAGCGGCGGCGCAGGCGGGCACAACCGTTCCCCCACCTGCTCCCCCCGCCAACGGCGGAATACCGGCTCCGCAATACAATGTCGAGGACACGACGGCTCTGGTGGAGCTGTTGGAGGGACTGGGCTGCCCCGAGGCGGCTCCTCTGACCGCCAGCGGAACGCTGCCGCGTAGACGCGACACCCTGGGCACGCCGTACGAGAAGTCTGTGTCGGGAGTTATCTAAATTAGTTAAATTTTCAATAAGCTGACGCGGGTGTTCGAGGATGTTCGAGGATGTAATGGAATTAGTTGAAATGCGAGAGGGAAAATTGTATAGCGATTAGGGCATAGGTTTTTAGGAATTTGTGCAAATGTAAATGTTTTATTATTATAATTGATTAATGATTAATGGTTATTATTATTTTGGCGAGCACTTTTATCGATGTTTTCAGTTCTTTTAGTTCCTAGGTCGTCCCAAAAGCCTGTACAGTCCTCTTGTTGTAATCTCAAGTTTATAATTTATTATTTTCGTATTACGTACTGCTATTATTACATATTATTATTATGATTATTATTGTTTTATCGTGTGCAGGTTTTTATGTCGTTTGCAAAACAACTAATTATGTAGTAATATTATTTTTAACTCTCGATTACCATCAGCGGATTGCGTAAAGACTTCTGAAACATCCATACACTATATACCATACGCCTCTAACAATAGGAACAGTAGGAGAGCTGAAGCTGAAGCTGATGCAAAACATACGTATAAACATGAATGAATCTAAGATTAAAGCCAAAAACAAACTTATACTATACAACATACACAAACACATATATATTATACGAGTGTATGTACACTCATAGTTGAAATTGCTTGATAATCGGTTACCACAAATCAACACGCCTAAACCTAAACATGAACTACTTATGTAGCTTACGCTGAACCAAACTCACAAACAAACAAACAAATTCTTTGCTATGGTAAATCCAACAAAACTTCTTATTGAAAGCACGTTTAACGGATTGCACTAGACCAGAAATGACCATCAGGCTGCAGTCAAATCTGTCTGGGCAACAAATTAAACTGAAAGTATTTGAAACCAATTATACAAAGTAGCTATAAATCAATCAATATATATATTACTATATGTATACACCCTCTATATATTGTGTACGCTATTTGTACGCACTACAAACCACAAAACGTGACAAACTCAATCTAATTGGAAGGAAAAGCAGCACACAAAACCACAACAAGAACAACAACAAAGAAGAAAACCCTTTAAATAAAAATCTATTAAACATTTTAAAAACTTGCCTTTTTTTTTAAACAAGAACAACCCACACAGATTTTTCTCCTTTGTTCTCCTGGTCAGAATCTATAAATAAAGTATGTTATGTTCATATACATACATATATATGTACATATATTTATTTGATAAGATAGCTACCGGGATATATGTACATATATGAGAGGGTAGTCCATCTATAAAATTTGGCTATTTGGAGCCTCAAAAACAAAGTGAATATTTTACACGAATCAATTATTCTTATCTCGTTTATTTCTATAAAACTAAACGAAATGGAGTTGCAATTATTCCCATTGTCTTTGAAGAGAAGGCTTTCTTGGGGACCTATGATTTGAATACCCTTGCAAGTCGATTGTACCTGTGCGACTTTCACCCGATTTGGCCTACACCTTTCTCAGCTTTTGTTAATGTTTTTCCTCGATCCTAGTGGTGGGCACGGCCCCTGCCACCCCACGTCTCACTTGCTCAATCAACAAACAAAGTGCACTCGATGGAGAATAAACAATTTACGTGCTCTAGATAATAGAGGGATAATATGCAACACAGGTTGCTGTCAAGAGAAATAGATATTAAATTTTATTTTTAATAATACATATTGTTGTTTGATATTACCTTTGGAGCAACTTATATACGTACAACAGTCAACAGTAAGGAAAAATTATGATGATAAAAAAAAATTGTTTTTAAGGTCGAAGAATTTGGAGGGGGATATTATTCGGTTCAATTATCTGTTCAGGTTTCTAGAGTAGAGGTCCTCTTAGATCATCCTGTTGGGCAGGTCGACTGGGTGTTTTCTGGTCAGCCTATGCCAGTATCTTGTTCTTGCAAGGCGTCTCGCCAGTATATAACGGTGGTTTCTCAGCTTACACATATGGTTCTTCGCTTGATTGTTGATAACATCACCAAGAAGTGGTACGTTAAGGTCCTTGGCATGTCCCGGTTACGGATATACCACTCAGCTCCGGAGATCCTACGCAGAAATTTACTCTGGAACGTCATGAACCAAGCAAGGTTAGTTTTGGCGGCAATCCCATTCACCTGAATGCCGTACTTCGAGGCAGCTTATTGAGCTTATTGCTTTGTTTAAGTATCCAGAACATTTTCTGGTCCTTACCACCAACTTGCTTCTCACGCTACGGATGTGACTGTCGAAAGTCAAACGTGCATCCAGTGTAACTCCGAGGTATGTGTGATTCCTACGCTGCTCCACGAGTTTCCCAAGCAAGAAGACACCAGGGCTAGAGACCATTCTATGCGTCACCATTGCACACTTATCAGGGTTTATGGAGATGTTCCCAGTTTTCAAATAGCTTGAGGTATTGCTGTAGATTGTCTGTGGCATCATAGACACAGCTAGCCCTCGATAGTACTGCTGTGTCGTCAGCAAATGTTGCCACCTTGAGAGTACAGTGTCGGCCGAAGCACGCTGCCTTGCGGTACTCCTGCCTTGATGGGTTTGGTCGAAGAATCTACAAGTCCTCTCCGTCAGAAAGCTTTTGATAACTTCATACAGCTGAGGGTTGATCATCACTTTGATTTTAGCGAGTAGTCCCTCGTGCCACACTCGTTCGAAAGCCTGCGAAATATCCAGGTAAGCTACTGTAGCTACAGTGTACTGTTTTTTTTGGAAGCCGTCTAGTATGTGTTCCACTACCCTGTGCAGTTGTTCGGGTGTACCGTGCTGAAGCCTGAACCCAAATTTGTAGTTTGGCAGGGCTGTTTTAACCAGCGGCGACTCTAGTACCCTTCGTAGGATGCAGCGCTCAAACATTTTGCCAAAATTTGACTAGAGACTAATTGGTCTATGGTTTTTGAAGTCTTCCGGTGGCTTTCCTTGTTTTGGCAACATTATTATGTGGGCACATCTCCAGACTTTGGGAAAGAATGATAATCTTAGCGATGCGTTAAAGATTAGCAGCATATACAGAATCGCTCTGTTTGGTAGCGCCTTTGCCACAACATTATCAATCTTATCGCCGCCAGGGGCCTTCTTGGACTTGAGTTTCTTTATGTCTTCCGAGATTTCTTGAAAAGTGATTGCCGCCACAGGGAGCTCCATCTGGTGGGTCTTATTCAGCGTCTCAGTGACCATCATTGCTATTCTACTAGATGTACGGAATGGTGTGAATATTTCTTCGAGATTCGTCGCAAAAGCTCCCACACTGTCCATTGCTGTTCTTGCCCATGGGCAAGGGGAGTTCTTCTCCAGGCCTCAAAGATTTGTTGGACTAAGTGCTGTCCCATGGCAGCTCAGCCTCCATCATCTCATAATAATGAAATAGAATCATTCTCTAATCTAAGCGAAGCTCTCGGATGTCGATGTTCTTACAGATGGCCGTCATGATTAAATAAAACCAATTACAATCGCTTACAAATGGAAAAAGTTGCGTTTATTTCGCCTCTTTATTTCGTCAAATGACAAGAAAATGGCCCAGAAAATAAATTGAAAATTAAACCACATTCATGTTTTAATCTTACGCATATTAAAGAAATTGTTAAGGCTCAACAAAGAGTACTTAACAGAGTACTAAATACAATTATGTAAGTACGAATAAAATCGTGTTAGCCGAAGATTTTCTAAAATAAATATGACTGACTGACTCTTTCTCGTTTGTCTTTGTCCGATTTCTTGCTGATACCGGTGAGAGGGACAGAGTGTAGACGAGTGAGCCGGGGGTTGGTTGGGGTAGCCAATATCTTACACAATTCGACCGTCACACACCAAAAAGTTATGTCAACTATAACGAATTAATTGGATTCGAAGTGTTCGAAGAACTATAAAAAAGGGATTGAACCGCCACACTTCACCAAAAAAAATGGAAATATGATTTTTCTGGCTAAATATATATTTTTATCTGTGATGTTGAGCACTTTATTCCCCTTCTCAAACGGAACCGAGTGTAAGTAAATAATATCAAAATAAATAGTATTAAATAAATGCCACTTCAATTACCAGCTTGTTCGAGCAAAGGAGGATCCTGTAACCCGAAAAAAAAATGTGCAGATATGGAAAAGTTTCCACAACTAACATTTGAGTCGCCCAATTGTTTAAACTACGAGCTGTGCTGTATTTTTGTACAATAAATTCGACTCAAAATAGCCCTCTATTGTATAAACTAGTTTTGGGCCAAAAAGTCGCAACCCTTACTCATTATTCGTATTTCGGGTTGGCAAGTTATTGTGCCAATTAGCTGAAACTATTAACCAAAGCAGTAAATAGTCGGGTCCACATCTCCATATGTATGCATATTATCTAGGGTTGGGACAAATCAATTTGGGTACCTAAGACATCTGACGAAACTGCACTGTTATGCCAGTGTATAGGCAATTATGGTGCATAAGCATATATTTGCAATGCACTGTATCCTGCTTGTAATTAGATATAAACGAAAGACAGACCTCAGGCATTTGGACCTTTGGCATCTGTGGTCTAAAATAACAAAGAAAGACACAACTGTGTGGGCTGGGTGCTTTATTTAATCGAACGAAATCTAACAAGCCTTCAATTTGGGAACATTTTAAGTGATGAAGAATTTTGTTTACATATTACGGGAGTCGCTTCTTCGCTAATGGGAAGTTACAAAGTGTCCGGTCCGAGAATTGAACTTCAGATGGAGCAGCATTATAATGTAAATTGTAATATAACATATGTATGTAAGTCACGCGGGTTGTGTGAAGTGTTAGGCGTGCAATGTAAATTTACTCCGAATGTGCAATTTAAAACGAAACACAACTGCATGTGGGGCGAGACAAGTTTCGCAAACGAATGATACTGAGGCGAAGATACTGGTGGACCATGCTGCGTGGTACATGAAGCAACAAACCGGTCGGAGGCGAAACAGTTCTGCCCGCTGTCATCCTTATCGTCTTCACCATTCCACTTGGACTCATCGGGATCATCTCTTTCTTGTCCGCGAACCGTCTGAGGCACTCGCCTGCTCTATGGTTAATTTTGAATTATTTTTTTTCCATTTTTTTTTGTCATTTTGTATACGTTTTCCGGTGTTTTGTTTGCCGTTTTTCCTTTTAACAGAGCCTGGTCGTCGTCATCATTGTTGCCATTGAGTCGAAAGTGAACGCTTTTTGATTGGTATTTAAGTTTTTGTTTTGTCTAAACACAACAAGCAAATTCCGCGCAATGCTTCTGCTGCTGCTGCTGCGTGGGCTGGGGCAGGGATCCTGTTCCCGCTGATGGTAACAGATTCAGTTTTGAATAGGGACACAGCCGCAACGTAGGCTGCAGCAGCGATTGCTGATTTTGATTTGCCGCGGCCCGCTGGCCACGGATTCGTTAACTTTGGAGCTCCATGTCGATTTTGTGGTTGTACAGAGAGAACACGCTCGCACCCTTTGCTTGCAGTGCACCTGATCTGCAGTTGCCTTTGCCTTTGTCTTTGCCGCCTTAGCGCCCGCTACCGATACCGCTGCGCACAGGCCCGTTCATTTTTTGTTGGCCTTGAACTTGGAGTAGAAGCTCTGAATCTGTGCGTAGCGCGCCGGTATGGAATCGAGTATACCGGTGTAGCTGAAATTCTGCTGCTGGCGATTCTTCTCATGCAGATTATCTCCCGACAAGTAAGTAACCACGTTCTTTTGCAGCTCGCTGACATGGGGATCGGCATGGTTGGCCACCAGATGGTTGCAGAACTGAGCGATCTGCAGGAAGACCGAAGCATCGCGATCTGTGGCAAGAATTACAACTCAATTAAAGCCCCTGTCCACTCAGACATCTCGCCCATCATGGCACTCACCCATCTTCCGCGAAATCTTCAGCAAAGAGAGCGGCTGGCTTTCGTTGTCGCGCTGGGCGCGCAGATGGCGGTTTCCATGCTTGAATTCCTGCTCCAGCCAACGGATGACATGTCGCACATTCTCGCTGCGCTTCTTCAAATCATCCAGCTCGTTGAGTACTGGATGGGGGGAAACACCCAAGATTAGTTAATGGCTTCGAACACTCTCCTCTACT